AAAAAAAAAAAAAAAAAAAAAAAAAAAAAAGATCAACAAAGATCTAGTCCAGGTAAACTGTCTTTAATACAGTTTCCTCCCAAAATAAAAATAAGAGAGAAACACTGTATTTTAACTGAAAGCCTGAAAACATAGAGAAATTGAAATTTAATCCCAAAAGCAAACAATTTTTCCCCAATCATATAAGAGAAAGTCTTTAAAAGAAGAGTTGAAGAAACTGCAGATACACAAACCAAAGGAGTAGGTGTGAAAAAGACCACTTTTTAGAGTGCTTATAAAGACTCCATATGTTATTAGGAATTATATTTACCTCCACCATTTGTTACTACCACACTGCCGCGATTTTCTTGGTACTGGTTCTCTCTTCGTAGTCTTTGTTCTTTAGTAATTTCTGCTACTCGAAGAGGCAGGTCTGAAAATTCATCTGCAGGCTTAAAAAAATAGCAGAAACATTAAAAAACATCATTCTAAATTTTAGACTACAAAGTACTTAAAAGCATGGATATAATATAAACTAATTAAAATGTATATTTAAGAATAAATAGCAAAAAAGTTCTGCATATGCATAGCGGTGACAGTTTCTCAATAATGTGAATGTACTTGATGCCGCTAAAATGTACACTTAAAAATGGTTAAAACAGCCCTGGCTGGGAGCATCATCCTGTACACCAAAAGGTTGCTGGTCTGATTCCTGGTGAGGGCACATACCTAGGTTGTGGGTTCGATCCCCAGTTTCTCTCTCACATTGCTATTTCTCTCTCTCAAGTCAATAAGAAACATATCCTCGAGTGAGGATTAAAAAAAAGGTTAAAATGGTAAATTTTATGTTACGTGTATTTGACCACAATTTGAAAAAAGAAACAGAAGGGTATAAATACAACTATATACATACGTACATGAACTTAAAGTATCTATGTATGTGAGTCTGTATGGATATAGCCAAAATTATGCACACACCCACTCACACATAAATACAGAAGGAATGTTACAAATTGGTGGTCATCTAAAATTAATTTGCTTTGGACTCCCAATGAAACAATGTTATAAATGGTATTTAATCATTTAACCTAATCTATAGCTAAAATATTATACCTTAGTAATTTTAAAAAGAGGAAACACAATACTAATAACTAAACAAAAGAGAAATATGCCATAATTGGCTAAGAAAGCTGTTTATCTTGCACATGTAGATACTCTTCATTAAGGTTTCCACTGCACTACCCTATTAGTTGTAACTGGCTCAGTTCCCGCTTAGGTTTCTAGGATATAAAACTATACAAGACAATGAGGTAACAAACATGTAAAACACACATGGTAAAAGATGGTAAAGAAATAATACCATTTTTGGATGGTATGACTATGTGGGATTTTTACATTTCCCTTGTTTTTTCTTGTATTTTACGTAATGAGAAATTGAACACAATTAAGAAACTTTTCATTTTCATAATTTTATTTTCTCTTAATCAGGAGTTATAGCATGCAGAACAGAATAAACACTTACTTCATTCCCTGACCATCTCTTATCACCACTGTCAACACTATTGAAACCTGAATCAAGGGCTCCATAAGGGCGACCTGAGTATAGTTCTTCGTGGCTGCAAAAAAGAGACATTAGTTATTACAGCAAAGTTTGATATTTTAAAATTAACATTTGAAATAAATCAGATTCAATTTTACAAATAAACATTTTCATGGCATTTAGGGACTTAACTATTTAGAACTAAATAAGCATTCTTAAATTTTTTAACATGGAAAGTTCCAAATTAAAACAGAGTAAACAGAATAGTATAATGAGCTCCCAGATGCTCATTATCAGCTTCAAAAAGAGCAGTCTGGCCCTGGCTGGTGTGGCTCAGTTGGTTGAGCTTCATCCCTGTGCACCAAAAGGTCACTGGTTGGATTCACGTCAGGGCACATGCCCAGGTTTCGAGCTCCATCCCCAGTAGGGGGCATGCAGGAGGAAACCAATGTTTCCCTCCCTCCTTGAGGCAACCAATGT